ACATAGCATGCTGAACTATGAAGACCGGGTTCAGATGACACAAGAGCCAAACAATGGTAAAAAGCCACTGTCTGGCATCCATAGGACTGTTACCTGGAGGAGTTGAGCATTTGAAAGGAACATTCAAAGGGGGTTCCTTCAGTTACCCCGTACTCTGCAAAATTGCCATGCATGCAAACAAGCATTGTGAAAACTAAATAAAAGCGATGCATTCTCACAAGATGGGCAGAATACACAACTGCTGGGAGGGATGTGGTGAGAAGTAGTGGGTTGACTTTCAGACGTGGACTCAAAATGACCAGACAAAACTCTGGCTTCTTGTAGTCACTATATTTGTCTCTTCCCTTCAGCAGCCGTTATATATAGCGAGAACAGCATTTCCCTAAGGGCAGGAGAATAGCAATGTTGCCATCCCTTTGTACAGGGCAGCTCGACCAGTGCACGTGTTAACCTATAACAGCACATTCCTTCTAAAAGCATCATCCCCCACACAAATAGAATAAATAGCAAAGAGATGTGCCAGGGAGAGTGACTTTCATTTGGTTCCAGCCAAGATGAGCTGTTACAATATTTCATGAATCAACCACATTCCCTTTCCTGAGGAAGTTACAGCAACTTGTGCTTTTGTGAAGGCTCCAGTGGGTACATCACGCCACAGTCCTGGCCCAGTGCAGAAGTCACAGGCCCAGTTCTCACATAGTGAGAATGTCATGAATGAGCCAGTGCTCTTGTTCACACTGCTTATCTGCTCCTCCTGCCAAGTGGTTGAGAACAATCTGTGAGCCTGGAGCTCCAAGGTTTCTATGGCTTGGCATGGGAGAGCCCAGGAGCAGTGCTAAGCACCAGAAAGAGCAGTGGCTTAGGCCCACAGGACACAAATATGTCCAGAAGGCCTAGTGGGGACTGTGACCTTGAGATAAGTGACTTAGCTGCACTCATCATTGTGCCTTGGCATGGCCCACATTCCCAGCCACCGCCCCACATCTGTTTTCCTTCAGATTCTGATTCTGATTCCACTGAAGTCCAGCAGCAGTCCTTGGATACAAACAGCCAAAGCAGCCCTCTCTCTCACTCCCAACATGGGAACTCTCCATGCACACATGCCATGATCCCATCCCATGATACATGAAGTAAAGGTCTCTATTCTAATTCTACATTTCCAAGCATATTATTAAGGTTGAGCTTCAGGTTGGTTTCCAGTCCTCTCCTTCAGGGTAATGGGTTGCCACATGGGCCAGGGTCCTGGATCTCTGCACCCTTTCTCTGTAACTGCACCTTGAGTTCAAGAACCCTGATCTCCATTGCGTCCAGCTACTCTGTAAAGAGGTTTTAACAGCTTTGAAATGTTTAAATGATTTGGGTAATTTTGAATGATGAAAAGTTCCTTGTCAATAGGATATATTTTCTAATGATCATGAATGCATTTCCATTTGTACAGTTAAAGTCCAAGGAAAAGAAAGCACCTCTTTACATTGTCATTGTACAAATGGAAATCACAGATTAGTCTCATTCAACATAAAGCCCTTGTATTGAAATGAAAGCTTTCACTTAAGATAACCTTTCTTCTAAAAACTGCAGGGACTTTTATCCTTCCTAATGCTATGAAAATGCCATTTCCTTTGCATTGTTGGCCTGTGATTCGTAAAATTGCTTGATAACTTTATTTTTGACCTTGAAACCCAATTTAACAGCATGTGCTAGTAATTCAACACTGAACTCAAAATAAATTATGCACATTAAATAAGATTTGCAATTATTTCTTTGCTTTTTCCAGTTTATTCCCCTTGCATAATGCTTAAGCAAGAGACTCTATAGATCTTAGTTTTTTATTAGGATTAAGACTTATATCAGCATTATCCAAATGTTTCTTGACTAGATGGCTGGTTTCCTTGAGGGCACCTCTGACATTCTAGAAGCTCCTCCACTCAGACTGTTGCCTGGATCCTGACCACTCTTGCCCTCAGATGATTCCACACTGGATGGACATCTCTGTCCTTGACTGCTTTGCTAGATTTCTCCCCTCAGCTGCTTAGCACTGGCTCAGCCGAAACAGGATACATGCTTAGGTCAGCCCAAGAATGTTGATGCCCAAGGCAAAGGACAAGATGGCCCTCCCTCCTTTCACATACAGAAGCTGTTTCGAAAGGGGGCTGAGTCTTAGTTCAACACTACCGTAATGGATAAGCAACCTCCACATAGCAAAGGGCTGTAGGATGGTTTGGGTGGTGTAGGTTCACAAGGTGATACATTTTTCTGCCCCCCAGTCTTGCTTTCTGCCTTCTAAACTTATTGATGCTGGAGATCCTTTGCCTGAAGCAAAGGGTAAGATGAGTCTTCCACGCATGTCTCTAGCTGGTGGAGGTTACACAGGGCTGACTGCATGGCACACCTTTCTGGGCAGCCTTTGTTGCCCCTGCAGCATCGGGCTAATGGTGGGCTGCCTTTTTGTGGCTGTTGTCAAATAATAGGGCAGCCTTCCCAGCCTCTTGCCCTCCAGTTCTGTTGGCCCACAACTTCCAGTTTCCCTACAAATGGATACAGGCCAACACATCTGGGAAGCAAGAATGGGAAGGCTGCACTAGAGAGTAAAAACCCCTTTCTGGTCTACTGCAAGTCACTCAGAGATCCACTAGAAGACGCAACTCGACTCTCAACACATCTCTAATGCAGGGTCTGTGCTTGTACTCTGCTCTAAACCATCCTATCATTGTATTGCTCAGGTTTAGGAATTCTTTATTCTGCTCTTAGTTTAGAACATTTTCACATGCTGCTTTTAGTCTTCATCTAAGGGTTATTTATTTAATCACATAAATTATAATCCACTTTGAGAAACCTTTGAACTGAATGGCGGTATACACTCTTCCAGTGTGCAGATTTTAATTTTATTTTATTGATGGATTTCCACCACTATTTTGAGTGAGAAGGCAAGCGGAGACTGGAAGCACATGGATCCCCCATGGCATATTGATCATATCTATGCCCAGTGTAGCATGTTTATGCAGATCGGTTGCCTCAGCACCTCAGGGATTGTGCATCGTTGCCCTCAGTGCTGTGCTGTTTTTCTCTTACACACGCACAATGCAAGTGCTGTTGTTTATAACTTTCAAAAAGTGCTGCTTTGTACAGTAATTTCCAGTAAAATAATGGAAGGTAAGAACTGAAGGATTAGTAGATTTTTGTCAGGAATCTCTTGTTAGAAAGAGGCAAAGAGAAATAATCTCCTGGGAAAGTTTCTTCCATTTTCCCTTCCTTTTCTTTCTCCTCTCTTTCTTTCTCCATCTGGTTTTTTCTTTGATTTGTCTTCTTTTTAAAGTTTCCCATCTTATTGTCTTTAAATAAGATTGCAATTCTGGGATGGTTGTCAGAGGTTTGGATTTATTTGGCCATTAGAATTAAAGTGGTTCCCAAAAAAATGTCTTTTTATAAACTTGGGTAAGATCAAGCATAATGCTCTCATTTCAGTTTATTAAATCTGAATCAGAAGATGTGTTCCCCTAAGTCTCAAGAGATGACAAGAATCCGGAGGTCTGTGTACTTGGTGCTGGAAAAAAGCCATATCAATAAAAGGGGATTAAGTAAGGCTTTTCCTTTTTAAAGGTTTCAGAGAAGATGAAGCAGGAGTCTTCAGTCAGATGCTCAAGCCAAATAAGATAACTCATTGCATATAATATCACCATCCCTATATAATTTCATCAGAAAGAGTTAAGATTACTCCAGATTCTCCTGAAATTATCCTGGGTCATTTAGTAGAAATTCATGTTGTGCCTCAAAAACTCCTACCAGACGTTTCCACAAAAATTCTGAAAGGAACTAATGCTCCTTTATTTATTTAGGGTTTTTCTATTTCTGTCCCAACCTTTTTCCATCTGGGAATTCAAAGTCACAGAAGTACAATTACCGATCCAGGCACTTATTAGATATATACAGTGGTACCTTGGCTCAAAAACACCTTGGTTCACAACCAAATCGGGTCGCGAACAAAAAATTCATGAAAATTTTGACTTGGGTCGCAAACTCCGCATTGGGTGGTGACCAAGATTGCGGCCATCTCCCCCCCCCCCCCCCCCCCCCGAATGGGGAGATGGCCATGATCCCAGTTGCGTTCGTGCAGGGAAGACGTGTGTGACCACGGGGGTGCTCCTGCAGGAAAGACAGGCGCAATCTCGGCCATCTCCCCCTCCCCAACCTGCACAATCGTGGCCAACTCCCCACCCCACCCCTGAGTGACTATACAAAAAGCAAGTGACTACAGACAGATGTTTCACCAAAATTGACCCTGCAGCAAAGAGACAAAGAGAGGAAACCCCTGAAAGAGACCTCCCCAATGTCCTTATGGAGGGGGACTCTCCCTCAAAACAATAATCTCCCCACCACTCCACAGGTTAGTGTTCTCCACTGTACTGTACAGTACTTTGTCACTTTGTCACTTTGTTTCAAATTTTTCTGATTAAAAAAAAAATAGTTACACAACGGATTAAGCTTATTTACATAGAACCTTATGGAGAAATTTGGCTTGACCCACAACCAAAACTTGGCTCACAACCACATTCGGAGGGGCCAGAATGGATTAACCTTATTTACATTGAACCTTATGGGGCAATTTGACTTGGGTCACAACCAGAGTCGTGCAACGGATTAAGTTCGTGAGCCAAGGTACCACTGTACTTGCTTAGCTTTAGTTGGCAGTAACAAGTTTCTTCACAGCATGCCTACTCAAGTCTCTAAGCAACATCAGTTACTCCATGACAGTTGTCCCTTTTTCCGTAACCATATTGATTTATTTTTATTTTTCATTGCATTCATCTCCTGCCTTTTGCAACAAAGTCAGGCCAGCTAACATGATTGCATCCTCTCCATTTAAGCCTCATAGTATATCTGAGAGTCCAAAGGACTGGCCCAAAGTCATCTTGTGACCTTCATGGCTGATTAAAAAGGCAGGATATAAGTCTAATAAATGAATAAATAAAACCAGGATCCCCTGTGCCCCAGTCCACCATTCTAAGCCCTACACGAGACATTTATGTACAGCATTATGAATGACCAGTTCACAGTTCCCATTGTTGATTTCTGAGAATTTATTTCACGTCGTTTAAGTGAGAGAAAACAAAGGTTCCTGCAAAATTAAAAACAAAGGGATATTAATTCCTAATGGTGAATATAATAATAAGTATAATAAATGAACAGCTAATTAAAATGCAAATCAAGTAGTATGCCAAACAAAAGAGTTCAGTTTGGCAATGCATTTCTACTTATTATATTGTGTGTGTGTGTGTGTGTGTGTGTGTTTGTAATCATTCCAAATCATTCCATCTCATTTTCTGCTTTTTTGGATAGCTTATTTACTGGATACATTTTTAAACTATCCAGTAACTGAAGCTTTCTGAATGCACTTTGAAATGAGAATACTCTAAATACACAATGATCATGGAAGAACCCTGAACAACTGCAACGGGGGGAGTTACAGGTGTTTTGGAAGGAACTCTCTGATCTCAGAGACCCTCCCAGGTTCACTAAAAGGTGTGCATGGATTCTGTGTATGTGTGACTCACAGTTCATGAAGAACTCACATGAGGGTGAGGACAAGTAGAAGGGAAGGAGTCCCTTCTTTGAAGTTTCTCACCCAGCAGGCTGAGAAAAGGAAGGAAGAATGGAAGGAGGAACGAACCACGGGAGGCTGCTCTGTGTTGGTTTCCCTCACCTGACCTGTTAGTATGGGGGAAAGGGTGGCATGTGATCCTTTGATGGCTTCCCAGAGGATGAAATTGGCAAGCACAGGGGATACGTACCAGCATCCAGCAAGCTCTCCCCATTGAGCCTGAACAAACTTCAGGGCTTCTGCTGGGCTCAGGGTAACGCTGGCATAAGGATTACACCCTCAAGCAGCTGCCAAGACTCCAGCAGCCTGGCAGTTCTGACAGCCAAGCCCTGAGCTGCTGCTGCTGCTGCTGCAAGGAAACAGCTGTGGCGACAGCTGGCACTCTCTCTGAGGAAGATGGGACCACTTGAGGATTGGTTCCCTCTTGGAAGGCCCTCTCTCCCTGGTGCTCTTCCGCCATGGCTGCAAGAAGCCCCTCCTTACTGCATTATTGAGCTAGCATTTTCGTGCAAATGTACTGAATTTGCATTTCTCTGATCTGTGCAAGAACAAGAATGCGGTGCGCCACTGCAATCCACACATTCTTGAAGTTGGTGAAGCACATAAATGTGTATATTTGGGGAAATGCCTGCATAGTCATGTTGGATAATCAGCACTGGGACCTGCCTGCAACTTGGACGGGAGTTCAGGAGACTGAATTTAGCTCCCCTGATCCCAAGTCGACAGATGCGCTGTTGGACTGAGGCCCATGAGTTAAGAGGCCCTGATAAAGCACGTGTGCGGTTGTACAGCACGGCTCCCCGCATTTTTGGATTCTCCCCGGGGATGTGGCCATCAGCTTCTGCACTCTGCAATGTGCCATCACACCATGACAAAACACAACTTACAATATCTGTGAGAGCCACTTGCTGAGGAAAAGCATGGCAACCAATCAGCCTACTACTTGTTTACCCAGAGGGCCATGGCCAAAATGATACAACCAGTAAGGAATGAGGCATAGGATTCTGCTCCAGTATTCCAGTAATAACATCGCTGAAATGTAAATGCTTACACTCTTAGGCTGACCACAAATATCCGTGGAGCTGCAACATTCAGAGAAACTTGATTGCACCCTCCGTCCCAGCAATACTTTGTCCCGTGGTGGTAGAGTTGCAGCAGCAGCAGCAGTGAGTCAACTGCAGGCAAGACATTCTTGTCCTGGAAAGAGAACATGATTTCATCACTTTCTGTCTGCTGGAAGAGTTTGTGAAATAAATCTGCTGGCACTCGCCATACGTCTTTTGCTTATCAGTTGCCTTCAGGGTAGTGGACAATATTGGGGCCGAGAAAATGGATACTCCTTAGCACGCTCAGCCAGCAAGCTAAGTCCTCTCTTTCTCCAGGTGAGTAAGAAGAAATGCATGTATGCAGGTGTGGGATGAGTGCTGCACTTTGCTAACCAATTAACATGCTCACTCTGCCTCCCACATGTCCATTGGTGAGGCTTACCAAGGTCCGCCCATTCAGTGTAGTTAACAATGGGATTTGTTTACATGTGGAGCTGAATGAGATAGACCTGTGGAGTGGCAGGACTTCTGGCCTTCCAGATGTTGGACTGCAACTCTAATCATTCCTGACCATCTGCCATGTTGGCTGGGCCTGACTGAAGCTGGAGTCCAACAACGACCTTATACTCTTTTCCATGCCAGGTCAAAACCTTTTTATTTAACCGGCATTTTAAAAACTAGTATTAATATAACAGTCACGTTTTATTGCTTTTATTACTTGGATTGTTTTAATGTATGTGATTTTATTGTTTGTTTTAATGTATTGATTGTGAGCTGTCCCGAGATGCCTTGCATGCATACATAAGTTTTACATAAATAAACAAACATCTGGAAGTTTCTGCAGTCATTGCATAAACACTTCCATGTTAGCAGGGGATCCTTTCTTACCTTCTACTTGTTGGTGCTGGGCCTGGCGGGCATAACTCCACTCCACTGCCTGAGTTTATGTTTGCGGTTGATTTTCCATGAACTGGAAAATTGCACAAAACAAACAGCTGTCAAATGTGAACATTGTTCAAGCTATTCCCATTTTTGCCAGTTTCTAAACTTGCTCAAATTTACTCCCATGGACTAAAGCACTGGTCATTCAGGAGCTGTATCTTTTGACAAACTTGTGCCTTTTCAAATACACATTTTGCAAACATGAAAGTAAGTTGGGAATCTGTGAACATTATTGGAGGAAATGTGTTCCCATTCACACTGAAGATTGCACACAGGGCTTTTTAAAGTGAATTGTGAACTGAAACAAAACCCGCTTCCATCCCTATTCTACACAGAGTTTACTTTCTATTATTGAGTGGTATACAGAAGAGAGAGATGTGGATTGTTGTATGGAAGTGTGCATAACTTGATGGTTATTTCTTTTAATGTTATGAGTTTGTGGAAAGAGTTCAGAAGCCAACCTTTCCCTAAATGCCCTGTTTTAGATGTAGTCTGCACATTTCCCAAAGCATACAGTCTACTCCAAAATTAATAATGAATTTGAAAGACCCCCCATAGACAGACATGACAAACACATGTGTTCTCACCAAGACAAATAATTATGAAATTGGACTGTGACATGATAACCAGGGAGGTCAGCTGAGAACTTATGAATCTGATGCTGCCACTGATCTAATTTTTATCTGATTGTATAGCACGGTTAATTTTTATTTAAGCATTAAATTAACATTTATTTAATGTTTGTTTCCAGTGCATGCATTGGGAAAGGTTTTTTTAAAGGTGTTTGAAAGCTTTGGTAAGGAGATTCCTCATGTTAGCATTGCATCTCCTTTTTTGCTTTTGACAGAACATGCTTGTTGCATGTCAATTGTGTACATATTTGATGAATCTTATGCCAAATGTATGTGGTTCATAACTGTAATCCTCTTGCTGCTAGATGAGCCCAACTGAACCATGCAACTCTCTCTGCACTGTGGTGGCCATGTTCTGTAGCCAAATGCACCTCTGGTCCCGAAGCATGTCCAAGTGGGCCCCCCTTCCCCTAGAAGAGGCACAAAAATTGCCTTCAGTCAAGCATCTGGCATAGACAGCCTGAGAAAATAGCACAACGGAACCATAAAAGAGGCAGCACTTTCCATATGGGATGTGGAATCAGAAAACAGTGGCATAGCTTCTCACATCTTGTTTTCAAATGCCATGCTTCCAAGGGGCTCATTTCAAAGAGACAGCAAAATGAGGGCACCAGAGAACAGTTGCTCATTATTATAACCTGCGGAAGTTTTAACCCCTTTCTGTGCTTCTTTCCTCTTCCTTAAGTCGCTCAGTTACAGAGAATTGGACCTGGCTATTCACACTGGACGGGTGTGAATAGTCCTGGTTTGAGGCAGTGAAGCTTCAAGAGTGGGATGTACTGTGTCCTCCTCTTCTGAGACAAGTCATGGCTGCTGGCACAGTTGCTGCGGTGGCCCCCTAAGCACACAGCGCCCATTGAGTCCATCCCTCCAAGCGTTCACAGGCCTCCTTTGTGCTCAGCTGAGTCCTCTCTAGTGAGCCAGCCAGGAGGGAATCCGTGAACCTTGTGGAGCCCTGGATGCCCAATGAGAACCTTCTCCCACCTCAGCAGCAGCTGCAGCCAGCACAAACACGGCTAGTTGTGGGGGACGGCTTTTTGCAACCAGCCTCCTTTGGCGTTGGCTGCAGCACTCAAATGACGGCTGCTCCTGGTGCACCAGAGGGGCACTGCCTGCACAGCACATGGGGGTGCATTCCTGGCAAGCACCCCCTGAATGCTGGGCATCCTTGTCCGGAACTCAGACTCTGGGCTGCTGCCAAGTGGACTAGAGTCCCAGAAGCCAAGTCCAGGGGATTCAATGGTTTCCTGCCCCAGATGGATTTCTCACACATGCCTACCCCTTGCCGTGAGGAACAGGAGAGAGGAGGATGCAGACTCCATCCCTTTGCCTAGTAATCTCCCCTAGCATCGAGCTGCATGGATGCCAAAGCCGTGCACTGCTCCAGGAAGCCTGCCTCTGCAGTGACCCCTTGGCTACAGCACTATCAATTGAAACTTTAAGCATTTTTATAATTCCAGGATAGACTCACCTAGTTTCCTTCATGTGCATGCAAGGTTTTGGGTGTCTAGGTTTCTCCCTCTGAGCACTGTGGTGCTTATGGAAAGGCATGTCCTTATTCTAGATAAAACAGCATCCACAGGGGGAGCTTTCTTAGTAAAACCCACAAGACCTTTTGCATCTAAAAGGCTAATATGTTTACCGAGGCATACACTCAGTCAAGCACATAACTGCATACTTTCTCATCCATAGAGCTGCTTGGCCACATCAGTTTGCAACAGGAATTCTTACTGCCTTGCTCAGAAAATGCTTAGCTCCAACTCTGTGCTCAGAAAATAGAAACACAGAACACAGTAAATCAGAAGGGGTCTCCCTGGCCATGTAGTCTGACCCCCGGCTCCAGCCGGCTCCACTCATGGCATGCAGGCATGTCATGGGAGATACTCTCCTCCACAGCATGCTGAGGTGGGGGTTTTCAGGAGGTGCCCTACAAATGCTTTGGAGCTGAATGAGCAGAAGCCCCAGGAGACTCAATGGCCCTGGACCTGGAGTCTGAAAAATCTGGAAGCCACCAGGCTGGGGAAAGTGGCAGGATGAGACCTCCTGACTGCGGTGCATGTGCTGTAGTCTGGGGCTGCAGCTGTTCCCCAAGGAAGGGCTTTGCGAATGTGGGAATGCTGCCCTGCACCGAGCTCTCTGGTCCCTTTGCAGTGCCGGAGGCATGCCACAAGTTATGGCGTGGTATTCGAAGCATCGCACCAAGCACATCAGGAGTGCCAATTATGCTAAACTTTAGTAGCAGATGGAATTTCTGCTCCACCACTGTGACTATAGAGCAAGCATTCCTAGCCTGGAACTCATGGCGTTCTCCATCCCAGGGAGCCAAGAGCCACAAGTCTGAGTCACGAAGAAAGAAAATAAAGTAAGAGGCTCAACTGGCCAAGAGCTGTGGGTTGTGAAAGTAGTAAAACCTACACATCAACACACTACTTCAGTGGCAGCCAACACAAAGATTTGAGGTTAGGAGTGACTTTTCAGGCTCGCTTGAATCCAACGAAAGCTTGGCGCAGCTTAGCTTCTCTCTCAAGAAGAAGAATACACTTTCAAGCTTCTGATAGAAAGACCTTAGAGATCCTGATAAACACAAATACGTTGTTTGTTAGAATTGCTCCCTTTTTACTCTGACTTGGCAAGGCAAAAGCATGGGATGGCCATGAAGATGTTTTTATTTGCAGGTGGTAGTGGGAGAAATGACAGGAGACGGCCCCGAAGACAACTGGGTGACCCCGGGGCAGCAGCTGTAACATCAGGCGGCAAAGGACAGAATGAGGTTAAGCAGAGGCACCATCTGCTCTCTGGTCAGCCTCCCTCCAGCAGGGTCCTTTCCTCAGCCGTCACCCTCCACAGCCATTCCCTCTGGCTGTGGCAAAATGGGAGAAGGGCAGGCACACGCTCCATCAGCTCAGGTTAAAGACCAGGACCAGCACCTTTTGGCATCTCCTGTCTTTGTACTGCATGTGCGCCAGACAGCCATGAAACTGAGAGCTAGCACTTGGACTTGTTTTTCTTCTCTTCCCTCCGAATCCCCTTTCCTTTCGTCTCATGTCTTTTCAATGATAAGCCTGAATGTTTTATTACTGGTTTTGCAACTTTTCCTGGGAGCTGTTTCTGACTGAAGTAAGGACCAAAAATTGTTTTAAATGAATAATGCTTGCCCCAACCTATCTCATAAGCAACAAACCAGATGTTACTTAAAATCCACATTTAGCAGTGATGCCTTTAGTTCATTTTTATTCTACAGGAGATGAAAGAAACCTGTTCTATATTGGTACCAAAGCATGTGGGGAGGCTTTAAGTTTCAGACTGGGGTGGTGGGGTGGGTGTGGGGGTCTTGCATCTGCTCTGAAGTGAAATGAAAAGAGGTGTAGCTGCTTTGTCTATGCCTGGCTGCTGTTTGCGTTTCAACAGGAATCATTCACAATCCAGGGCAGGATGGTGGGAGGGGTGTTCATTTTGAGCAAAGCTGTTAAAAGAAAGCAAAACTTCTTATGGGGGTATTCTGACAAAACCAGGGTCTAGATTCTGTAGCATATTGATAGATGGACTGATTTTAAGCCAGCTGCTTGCCTTAATTCCTTCATGATGGAGGGGCAAAGGATAAACTGAGGGGGGATTTTAGGCAAGGAGTTGCTGTGCAGGTTCATTGCTGCAGAAGCAGATCTCTGCAATCCACGGTCCCTGGGGAAGCAACCATATCCAATCGGAGGGGCAACCATTAATGGAGTGCACACATCAGCTTAAGCATTAATGGACTATTACCTTGATGACTGATATTTAGGCTTTTGCTGCAGCGTGGATCAAAGAGACTTTATTTTGCTGCGTTAACTTCAGTGGAATCACTGTGGACAAGTGGCGGTTAGTTCGACTCCCTGGAAATGGAAAAGGACCAGAGCTCTCCTGCAATGTGGTTACTGTCTTCTAGGATTCATTTTAACTCACAGCTAAAGTAAAATAAAACAAAAGGAAGAAGTCCTTCCCCGCTTCTTGTTTTGCTGAAGTAGAGAAGTCTATATTTTTCAGTGGCAATAGTTTTGTCAAGTTAGAAAGTATGTTTTGAAAACCAGTAGATTCCTTTGCTTGCTTGCTAGATGCATTCCAAGGAGCTTTCAAGATTACCCCTAAAATGAAAGGTCTTACACTTCTTCCCTTTCTGGGTTTTATTTGGAGACCATCTGAAGCAAAAGACTGTTTCATTCCATAAATGTATGAAGGCATGCATTTCTGCAAGGTATAATACTTAGCAGAGATTTAGCCAGTACATCATTATTATTGTAAGACCTGGGCTTAGGCCAAGGCTGAAGATTGCCTTGATGGCCCTGGAAATTCTCTCTCTCTCTCTCGGGAAATTACAGGAAATTGGCCAAGAGGAATGGCTAGGAAATGGCCCAATAGTGTTCTGAAGGTCAGGAACCATTTGGGGAATGGTGAACAAGCTGATTGGAAGGAGGAAGAAAAGGAGCAACTCCAAGATGTTCTTGCTCCCACATTTTTTGGCCCCTGTTGGGGTGAAAGCAATAGGTAGGTGTCCCATCCCACCTATCCTTGATTCTGGTCCATTGCAAACAATGGATGGACAAGCGGAAGCTTGGGGAAAGACAAGCAAATGCAGAAAGCTGAGTCTTGAACCCT